GGAGAGTTAATAGGGACAAAGTTTCGCTTTGGGATGATGAAAAAGTTCTGAAGATGAATAGCGGTGACGGAGGTTCAACACCACAAATGTACTTAATGCCGCTGAGTTGTACACTTGAAAATGGCTAAAATGGAGATGTTAGGTTATGCAGGTTTTATCACTATTTTTTTTAAAGGTGTTTTTTTTTTTTTTTCAAATTGGTCCTTTGAAAAAAAGCAGTCCCTGGTCAGCGCCCCTACCCTCTGCCCAGGGTTTTTCAACAGCACATTTTGACATTGCCATTTTGGGCTGAATAAATAACTCTTTGTTGTGGGTGCTGTCCTGCACCTTGTAGAGCACTGCGCAGCGTCCCTGGCCCCCACGCACAAGAAGCCAGCAAGCCGCCCCGCCCCCCACCCCAGTGGGTCTGAGATGCTTCTGGTGGTCACCGCTCTCTTGGAATCAGCTGCTCTCAAGGAGACGCCCAGGGAGTGCGTAGGAGGCAGCCATGAAGCGGGAGGCAGTTGTCCCCGGTTGGAGGGTCTGACTTGGGAGGAAGGCAAAAGTCGACAAATTCCGAGGGCCCCGGGAGGTGGTGGGCATGGTTTGAAGGTCCAGGATGAGGCATAGTGGGCATGGGTAGGTGCACAGGGGTGATGAGATCAAGATTTACTCAAATCTGTTGCTCCCACCCACCCAGGGGAGAAGTGAGGGTGCTCCCTGCTGCCATTCCCATTCTGCCACCTCCCCTGCCCTCCCTTCCCCCCCAGCCCCACAGGGGAGAAGCAGAGGAAGATGAAGTTGTCACCTGGTGGTCCCTTCTAAAAGGGCCAGGGGCTCCTCCCCATGGGAAAAACGGGTGTCTCAGGGTCTCCTGTCAAGGCAACAACAAAAATAAGAGCAAACAAAACCAGAATCTCTAGTAGTCAGATCTGGCATGCAGTGAAGCTAGAACTCCCTCAAGTGCATGGACTGGCGTCTCTCCCACCTAGTCTGCAACAGTCAGGAAGCAACCACGAATTCTGCACACGGCCCAGGTGCCCGACTCCATGCCAAGCCTAACCAGATAGAGTTCCTGCCTCCTAGGGGCGCAAGCTCATGGCAATAGGACGGGGAGGGAGAACTGAGGAGGGAGCTGAGAGGGCAGCCGGGTGCAGGCCTGGCCTGGATGGCCGCCGCCATTGGCGTCCCAGTATGGATTATTCACATGAAATGCCCCTTTTGGGGGGCACCCAGCTCCTCCCCAGAGACTTGAAGAGTCACTTTAATCCACTTGCCTGTGGACCTCGTCTTCTGTCTCGGTGACCTGCCCAGTTACCCTGGCACCCAAAATGGGCCAGCGAGGGACTCAGGGTGGGTTCTGGGTAGGTTAAATGGAGCAGGGGTCCATGGCAGGAGTTGTAGCTCCCCCTAATCCCAGACCTCTGGTTGATGCGGGCTCACCCAGGACAAGAAAGGATGTGCAATGGTGCGTGGGAAAAAAGGAGGGTGAGGAGCTAACTCTGGGGCTGGGGCTGGGGCTGGGGCTGGAGCTGGGCAGAGTACTCCCCTGCCTCCCCATCTGCCCACCTCAGACAGGGGTCCTGCAGGGCTGGCGGGGGTGGGGGGGGCTTGACCTGCATGGGTGAGGACCCTGGGGTTTGTTGGGTGCCCGAGCAGGGACCCCTGGCTGTCTCTGCTATGGAGCCGGCAGTCAACAGGAAGCGAGTCCCAGGGTGAGAGGAGGCTGTGTGGTTCCCGGGCAGGAAGTGAATGGCAGCAGAGTTGTCTTGAGCAGCTCTGTGGGCCCCGGAGCCTGCCCCAACCTGAGGTGTCTGTGGGGCAGCAGGTGGCTCGAGGACGGAACGCTTCCAGACTTACACGTCTCAGCCCCAGGGGGCCAGCGGAGCTCCCACTGTGCTTCGGGCTCTGGGGCGGGAGAAGGGAGGGCCTCTGGGGCGGAGGCCTGCCCACTTTCCAGGTTACTGGGTGGCTGACTTTCTCACACACGTGAGAGAGTCTTGAGGGTGAGAGGATTTACACCAGGGAGGGGCCTTCTAGTCCGGGAAGCCCTGTTGGTTTGAGCAGGGAGGTGAGTGTCCTGGGCAGAGTGTGTGGGGATGGCACTGAGGAGAGAGCCAGGGCCTTCTTGCCCCACTTGCATTCCTGTGTTTGACCTTCCGGCTCTGCTGGCCTCGGCCCTCAGTGCCCAAGTCTCGTGGAGGAATTCTCGCTTCCGCTTCCGCTGGAGGCCTCCTCTTCCTCTTGCTGCAGCCGCCTCCGCCCCCCACATTTGCAGCTTTCCATGGGAGGTTCTCTTCCTGGAAGCAGGCCTGCCCCAGGCTGCCCCACACGTCCAAGAGGGCGGCTTGGCAAGGGTCCTGGAGTTCCCTCTGCCCACGCTCATGCTGCTCCACGTGCCTGCAGCCCCGTCCAAGGAGGACTCCGGATTGGCTCTGGTTTTTATTTTTATTTTTTTCCCTAAGATCCTCCTCCCTATTTGCCACCTCTGGGGGTTTGTCACCAGAGAGCAGCAGGCTCAGAGTTGAGGTCGTAAACCCTTGGAGCAGAAGCCGCCTCGGAGATTGCCGGGTTGTGCGGGGCGGGCCTGCGGAGGCCAGGGCTCTCTCAGCCTTCCAGGGTGCACTTGAGTGGTACAGCGCTCTCAAGGGAATTTGGCCATTTCTATTCACGCTTATATGGGCAGGCCCTCGTCCGCAGCCAGGATGCTTCTGGGACTCTGGCCTACAGAACTCCACAGGTGCACAGGGCTCTACGTGCACGCGTCCACTGCATCAAAAAGCCCATCAGCCTAGAGGCCCGCCGTTAGGGAACTGTGTGAATAATTTGTGGGGCATCCTGTCCATAGAGTGCTGAGCAGCTGTGACATAGAGTAAGACAGATCCACGGGCACAGGGATGGAGAGGTGCCCACTCTGCGTGTTAAGTGAAGAAGCAAGCTGCAGAACAGTATGAGTAGTATGATACCCTTCTGGAAAAATAGCAAGTCTGGACCAGTGTGTGAATATATAGGTACAAGCATGTAACTTACACGTGATGGTAGGTGCATAGGGTAAAAAAGTCTAGAAAAGATACTCACCAAAGTGTTATTAATGGTTTATCTGTGGGAGCGATTTTGAAGGTAGGGAATGGAAATAGGAGTTTTAATATTTTTTAAAAGATTTTATTTATTTACTTCTTAGAGAGAGGGAAAGGGAGTGAGAAAGAGAGGGAGAAAAACATCAATGTGTGAGAGATACCAATTAGTTGTTCCCCACATGCCCCTGACAGGGGACCTGGCTCACAACTCAGGCATGTACCTTGACTGGGAACTGAACCTGTGACTTTTTGTTTCACAGACTGGCATTCAATTCACTGAGCCACACTGGCCAGGGTGGAGTTTTAACATTTTTTAAAAATGTTAAAAATTTAACATTTTTAACACTACTCATTTTTGTGGTTTGAATTTTTGTAATATATGCATCTGACTTTTATAAAAAAAAAAAAAAAAAAAAAGGAAAGCACCTCCAATGTTCTAGCCCAGCAATTTTCAACCTTTTTTTATCTCATGGCATACAGAATTGCCAAAACTCTGTGTCACACCAAAAATATATTTTTTGCTGATCTGACAAAAATAGGTAGAATTTTGATTCATTCACACTGGACAGCTATTGCCGTGTCGGCTGTTGTCATTCTCTTATTTGACATCTAAGGAAAGAGAGGTCAGTGTGCCTGACTGAGTAGTCAGGTATTGCATATCTTAAAAATTCTTGAGGCTCACGGGTTGAAAAGCACTGGCCAGCCCAGTCATCTCATGGTACAGGTGAGGAAACCGAGACACCCTTTCAGGCAGTGCCTTACATGAGGTTGCAGGCCGGCAGGGTGTTTACTGAGCTGACACTGCTGGCCTTCTCGGGGAGGCACCCTGCAGAGGAAACTGGCGGGCAGGGTTGCAGAGGGCAGCCTGTGCCCATGGGCATGACAGAGTTGAGCACTGGGGACACTTGCCTCGTCAGCTCCAGCAGAACACCTCCTTTCCTTCAGAGATACCCCAGCCTACTTGCCACCAGATGGCCAGGGACAGAGTGCTCTCCAGAACTTGCTCTGTCCTCATACCTGTGCTCATTCTGTCCTCACCAAGGCTGTGACCTCGAGCAAATCACAAATTCTCTGAGAGCCTCCAGGGAAGGTCGAGCCACTCTGAAGGGGCAGTGGTTGAGAAGGAGTTTTGCTCACCGTGCACAAGCGACACTTACAAAGGACACAGTTACTCTTGATATGATTCTTGATCTTCTTGAACCTATAGTAAGCTCAGTTCTTAGACTCTTGGGGACAAAGTAGTGCATTGCCTTTTGGAGGGGGAACCTGGGACCACGCGCTAGAGAGGGTGTGCTGTGAAGAATGCAAGTTCTTTGCTGAGGCCTTGGGTCTCCTGGGGTCCAAGCACCCGGGAGATCTCTTGGGGGCCAAAGCTGAGGGAAAGAGTGGTGCTGGGCTTTGGGGCCCAGAGGAACGCTTCTTTGAGGGGGCTCCCTCTCACCCTCCTTCTCTGCTCTGGTAGCTCTGGCTGCTCGTCACTGGGTTTAGGCCTTGAGAGACCACGAGGGAAGCTGGGCGGGCTCTGGCCCAGAAGCCAGGTCAGAGGAGGGGTCCTGTTTAGGAGGGATGTCGTGGGAAGCACTTGTTTTTAATAGGGGCTGCAGAAGGCTGGAGAGCACTGTGTCAGCCCCGTGAGTGTATCCGTGGGGGTGCACCTTGGGCCATGGAACCAGGCTGGCAAATCTGGCTGTATTCTTCTCCCATTTCTTAAGCAGGAGTCTATGGACCCCTTGTCTTCAGGGAGTCAGGCCCATGAACCCCTTTAAAACCGAGAGCAAAATTGTGAGTGTATGAACGTCATGCACTACTGCGTGAACATTTACGTGAACAGAATTGTCTGGACGGAGAGTTCATAACTTTCACCAGAATTTCAGAGCTTGGTGAGCCAAAAGAGGCTGAGACCACTGGCCTGACCCTGTCCTCTGCTCTTCCTTTGTCTTCCAGGTGGAGAGCAGTGACACACCGAAGGACCCGGCGGCCACCTCCAAGTCCCCATCCATGGCCCAGGACTCGGGCACCTCAGAGCTGTTACCCAATGGGGACTTGGAGAAGCGGAGTGAGCCCCAGCCTGAGGAGGGGAGCCCCGCTGGGGGACAGAAGGGCGGGGCCCCAGCAGAGGGAGAGGGCGCAGCCGAGACCCCGCCTGAAGCCTCCAGGGCCGTGGAGAACGGCTGCTGCACCCCCAAGGACGGCCGGGGAGCCTCCACAGAAGAGGGTGAGTCCCAGGATCAAAGGGCAGCCTCTTTTGGGCTCGCCTGATGGTTGGATATTTGACGCCCAGTGGATCTCTGGAGGCGTGGGCTGGGCCTGGGAGCTGAAGGTCTCCCTGCCCAGGCTGCGTGCCCTGGAGGCTACTGGCTGGAAGCGGCCTGCACACAGGTTTTTTTGGCCCATGCAGTACTTTAAACATATAAAAAATAGTAGTTGCCAATGTTTAAAAATCAAGACATTTCTCATAAAAATCTGGAGTTTTTGCTTCTCGTGGGAGAAGAGAAAAGCTAGATCTGGCAACAGTGTGGGTTTGCAGAAGGCCAACGGTTGCTGGACCAGGGGACGGCTGTCCCCATCCCCCCAAGACCCGCTCCCGCCAGGCGGGTTGCGCACCTCAGATTCCCTCAGCCGCTCTCCGGCCTGCTTGCTCTCCCATGAGACCTGTGGCTTTAGGGGTTGCTGTGTTTGTAGCCCCTGGCCTGGGTGCTTGAGGGCATCAGGTGCCCTTGTGGGCGTGAAAGGCCCAGGGAGCCTTCCCCAGCCCAGTTGTCCTGAGCCCACCAGTTTCCATGACTGGACTAAACTCGCTGTGACAGGCTGCTGTGGGGGAAGGGTGGGGGCCTGTGCATTGCCCAGCCCAGGCCTCTCCTTCCCCAGGGCCTCCTTGGACTAGCCCTGGAGTCCTGGAAAGCAGCCCACTGTTCTCTTTCAGGTTAAGCCAGCGATTTCAGGGCCAACCAAACTGTAAACATGTTCGTAATGAGCACAACTAGCATTTGTACAGGGCTTCACAGTTTACATGGCGCTTTCTCATACATTATCACATTTGATCCTCCCAGGGCCCTGCCAGGTTGTTTTGCATATGTGCGTTTTAATTTCAAAAAGTCTTCTTTCCAAGTGTGTATGGTGGAATGAGTAAATTGATTAATTGGCATAAATCATTTTGTATGGATCCAAACCTAACATTCATGCAGGATTGAGAGCATCTCCAGAAAAGGGATTTCCAAAGTTATGAAAAAATATCTTTCATTTATTATTCATCTGATATTTATGATGCTCCCACTATGTGCAAAGAGTTTTCTCAGGCGCTCTGTGTTCATTCTTTTACTCCTCCAAACAACCTCCTTCCGGAGGAATTATTATCCCCATTTTAAGGTGGACAAAAATTGAGGCTTAGTGAGGTGAAGTGACTTGCTCAGAGACCCCAAACCCGTAAGTGGCAGATCCAGGATTCAGTCTGTCCACGTCTCTGGCTTCAGAGCCTGCGTGTCCTTCCACTTCCCCTTTGTTCCGCAGCGGGGTTTGGGAGGGCTGGCCCTGGGCTCCCAGCCACGCCAAACGCCTCCTGGGATGCGTCCTGACATTCGGTCGGAGCTTTCAGGGGCCTGAATGGAGTGAAACGGAGGAGGAAGTGGAGCAGCTGCCATCCTCCTGTTAAAAAGGCCAGGTGTGCAAGGGCAGAACCTGTCCGCCTTTCTTACCAAACGTTCTGGGCCCAGGAGGGCTTGGCTGATTCCCAGGCTCCTGGGAGCCCGGAGCCACTGGCATGCAGCTCCTGCCCTGGGCCCAGGCAATCCTTTCTGGCTGGCAGGATGGAACCATGGCTCCAAGGCTGCTTTTCACCTTGAGGGTTTGCTTTCGGTTTGGGGTTTCCCTGTCTCCATTTCCGTTTGTTCTCAGGAGCTCCTTTTTCAGTCAGTCAACAGGTATTTATTAAACACCCTTTTGGTGTGTGCCAGGCTCTGGAGAAATCCACACAAACAAAAACCTAGTTCTTGCCCTCAAGGACCTCACCGTCCACTGGTGAGAGGGACATTAATGAGAAATCCTCACTGAAAAGGCCGTGATTATACACAGAGATAAGCTGTTGAAGGGAAAATAAACATGCTTCTATGAGGAACTATAATAACAGAGGAACCCAGCCGGCCTGGCCTGTTGTTAACCTAAACTGAAGGAGGAGCTAGGCTTCACTAGGTGAGGGGTGGTGCAGGGAGGGGGCAAGGCCAGGTCTGCGGGCTCCCAGGTGGGAGGGAGCAGGGTATTCAGGGACCTGACAGGAACCTGCAAGGCGAGTGGAGAGGGCAAGGGAGACAGGTGTGCAAAGAGGGGAGAGCAGACAGGCCCAGGGCAGCCTTGGAGGCCACCCTCCCAGGGGCTGACACCATGTGCTTTACATTTTGGAAAGATCAGTTTGCCATCTGGATGCTGGAATGCAATGAACAAAGGGGCCGGGAGGCAGAGCCAGTGCTTAGGAGCTGCTGCAGGCACAGAGGGAAAGAGCGGGGCTCGGGTGAGTGAGGTGGCAGCAGAGATGGGTAGAGGTGGACAAATGCAGGGACAGGAGGGGTAAGGGGGGAGAAGGTTCAAGGGCGACTTCTGCATTGGGCAGATCTTCCTCAGAATCTTAGTGCTGAGCATGGTGGGCAAGAAACGTTCTGAGTTTCCTTGATCTCTAAAATGTGGCTTCCACACCCCTGTGTGGCTGTAGCAGCCCAGGCAGAGGAGAGTCGGGCAGGGGTCAGAGCTGGGGGGGGTCCCTGAAGGCCGCTGTGAATTGCCCGATGCTGAACTGGCGAGGTGGTACCTAGAGGGGCGGGCCATGGCCTGCTGGAGGCTTGGCCACCGTTCCAGCGTCAGCCACAGAGAGTACATGCTCTGCTGCTTGGTTCTGAGGAGGAAGGAAATGAAGGCCCCAGGGAGGAAGGGGCTGGGCCGTGGTCTCCTTTCAGTTCCCCTCTTTCTAGGCTTCTTTTCAGCACACTCCTTCTGTCTCTCCTGGAAGCCCTCTCACTAGATCCTATGCAGGAAAGATGGAGGGCTCTAAGGCAGAGTTCCTGTGGGCTGAACACCCCCTGTGGGCGCTGTCAGAGCCCCAGATCCTGAGAGAACAGCCAGGAGAAAGGAGGAGGAACTGGGGAGATGATGAGTAATTGGGACAAGAGCCACCTGGACAGGCAGGTGGTGGCCTTAAGAAGGCTCCTGCACTCCCGGCACTGATGCCATCACGATGCTAACAGTAACGACGACTGTGGAGTGGCTTTCTTTTCTTGAATGAGTTGAGTGTTCTGTACCCTCACTACTTAAGCAGCCCACTTGGCATCACCTGAGAGGTTAGGAACACAAGCCCCAGCCTAGACCTACGAATCAGAATCTACACGTTAAAGAGATCCTTGTGATTTCAATGCATGTAAAAGTGAGAAGCCCTGCCCTTGATGTGTTCTTCAATCTCTGTGATCATGTGAGGAAGACTCTCTTATCCCCATTCTTCAGACAGGGAGATTGAGAGTTCAGAGAGTTCCGTTACTTACCTAAGATAATACAACTAGTAAAGGGCCAGATTAGGGTTGGCCAGACGTCCTCTCTACTCATCCTGAGCACCCAGGATTGGTCCACTGACTGCCCTCCGGGGGCAAGCCTGGCCCCAGCCCTGTCATGGAGATTTAGGTTCATTTGAAAGGGAATTTGGGGTGGCCCCCCACTGCGTGTAGCCCCAGACCAACAGGTAAGTGTTAGAAGCAGCACGGCCTCAGCTGCCTCTAGGACCACGCCTGCCAGGGCCAACCTGGGAGGCACACAGCCACCTGGCCGGGCCTGTGACCCTGGTTGTGGGCCAGGAGCAGATGGACGAACCGCAGAGGAAGTGTTGAGAGAGCAGCTGACCCTCCTTGACTCCGGACGAGTGCCGCATTCTGAGGCAGCCCAGTTTGTTGTTTTGCTTGCTCAAGTGTGTGTGTGATATCACTCAACTGGGCATGCGCGGAGGCTAGTCCGTCCGGGAGAAAATTCCAGAGGGAAGGCAATTAGAAACTACCTAAGGAAAAGTAATTCCGTTTTGGGGAGCCCGGGGCCAGGCATTAGGAAAAGGGGAACATCAGGTTGGTGCCGTATAAAGTGAACTGTCTTCCCAGCTCTGGTAGTAAATCACGCCATTCCCCGTGCCTCAGTTTCCGCAAAAATCTGGGGGCTGGAGGAGTACTCCCTCATCCTTACAATTTCTTTCAGCGGCTGATTTGCTTTCATTCGCATGAATAAATGATCTCCCATATATCAAATGTCAGGGAGGGCCCCGGGCAGGAGACGCTGGAGGTCCTAGGGGTGCGCTCAGGTCCCGAGGGCGGGCGCCCCCACCTGGCAGCGCAGAGCCTCGCGGGGCAGAACTTGCGGGTTGGAGAGTCGCCGAGCCCTCAGTGGAGGAGGGGGTCCGCTGGCCGGATGGGGAGCTCCGCTCTAGGGGCCCGAGGAAATGTTGGGGAGCGGGCAGCGGAGAGATGATAGGGCCTAAAGGAAACATGTTGGAAGAGAAAGTCCGGGTGAGACTTTCAAAGCCCTGACACGCGCGCTTCCTCCCTCCGCCTGCCACCCGCCCTCCGCCCTGGGCCGCCCTCCGCAGCCCAGCCAGCTCGGCCCCGCGGGCGGGCAGGGCGTGCCCCACGTGCAGGCGCGGGAGTGTGCGCGTGCACGCCCCCGGCCTCTGCAGGTGCGGCCCCCGGCCGCACCCCCGCACCCTCGGGGCTCGGGGCTGGGTGTGCGGTAACCCAGAACTGCCCCGCTCCCTGCTCACAGGCGAGTCTTGCCTGGTGAAAGCGAAGCAAAGAAACACCCTCTGGGGGCTGAGGACTCAGAGGCCTTCAGTGCTGTGGCGGGTTTCCGCTTCTGAGCCAGGAGGTGAAGTAGGGGCTGTTTTTTCCGTTTTTGGCTCTTCGTGTCCCCCTCCGCCTCTGCCCTCCCCACTCCTCCCCCTACCCAGCCACCATGAACCAGCTTTAGTGACCTTCCTGCCTGTGGGCCCACACTCAGAACTCTTGGCTTCAGAGAAGGGAGTTCTGGGGGCTCAGGTAGGAGGAGGGCTCGCTCCCTCTGAGCTCCTGTAGGAGGCCCAGGAAGGCGGAGTTACCCCAACCCCCCCTCCCAGCCGCCCACGCCCTTCGGGTGGTGCTGGGCCTGGGACCTGGCCTCGGGAGGGAGGTGAGCGCCCGCTGGGGACAGGGTAGGAGGGCAGGGGTATTAGGAAGAGATGTGGGACCTGCTCGGGACCAGGAGCAGGACAGGAGAGAAGAACGTTCTCCTGAAAACAGCCACTGGGGCTTCTGCCCGCAGGGGAGCCTTCCCCCCATGAACCGGAGACAGGACCCACACGAGGAATTGCAGGGAAGAGGCGCCAGAACTGCTGCCTTAGGGAAGGGGAACAACGCTAACTTTTATTGAGCACCTACTCTACCCAAGCCCTGCTCTAGGCATTTAATGTTCTCAATATCATAAAGATTTTAGAAGGGTCATCTACCTTAATTCAGTGAGGAAACAGGCTAGGAGAGGTCACAGAGGTCTCAAGGAGACCATCACAGTCCGAGTCTTCTGGAATTAATAAAGGCTGAGCTTAAAAACCTGAGAATGGGGTGGGGAATGGGGTACAGAGACAGACACTAATAATGGAACCATAGTTTGGGAGCTGCAGGAAGACCTTAGAAATTATCTCCAGCGTCGTTATTTTTCCAGATGAGGAAACTGAGTCTCATAGAAATGAAGTTGCTTCACCAGCGTCTTGCTCCAGTGGCCCTGTACCTGCCCCCTCCACTCCAGGGCCCACACAGAGAAGCCAGCTTTCCATCCCAGGCCCCAGGGAGGCTGCGCACGGTGTGGCCCCTTCTCTGGGAGGGCGCTCTGCTGGCTGGGAGGGGCTGAGTGGGGCTGTTTTTTCTACAGTAGATGGTCCCGTATGTGCGCCTGGACAGAGTCTGGGGGCCGGAAACCACAGCCCTGGCTTTTGACGCTTCGATTTGGGCCTCCCACCCTGCCCCAGTCCCTTCTCAGCCGTGCTCTGAGTCCGCGGAGCCAGCGCAGTGCCTGGTACCTCGTGGGCCGTCAGGTGTGACACATGAGCAACTAAGTGGTCGGAGGACCCCGTCCCCATGGCAGGCACCCCAGGCACAAGGTGGGGCCTCTGAGCCACTCCTGTAACTCTGCCGACAGTCCCTTTGTTCTTCCCTCTCCACAGGCAAAGAACAGAAGGAGACCAACATCGAAACCATGAAAATGGAGGCAAGTGTTTTCCTCAACCCCAGGGGCTCTGTGGATCCCGATTCTAGAAGAAAGCCACTGCTCTGACCAACCGTGGCGAGTGTGTCTGAGGGGAGCCTGAGGTGGCCCCTGTCCCCTTCTTTACACGTCCCTCTGTGAGGAGGAGAGGAAGTGGGTGTGGAGGTTGGAAGTCCCCCAAGGGGGCCATCTAGTCCCCCTCCGAGACCAAGCACCTCCGGTCTCGGTTTCTGTCCTTGTGTCCCCGCCACCCCACCCCTCAGTCTCCAGCCCAGACAGGGCCTTGCCCAGCACTCGCAGGGTTGACACCTCTGGCCAGGAGTCAGAGCTCCTGTGTTCTTTCTGTTCGAGGTGAGTGCGTCCTCAGTTTCCCCTCCATGAGGAACAAACCCTGCAGTGGGGCTGTCAGTGCCCACCTTAATGGCAGTCTGTCTCTCTGTTGTCTCTCTGTCCTAGGGCTCCCGGGGCCGGCTTCGGGGTGGCTTGGGCTGGGAGTCCAGCCTCCGCCAGCGGCCCATGCCGCGGCTCACCTTCCAGGCGGGGGACCCCTACTACATCAGCAAGCGCAAGCGGGACGAGTGGCTGGCACGCTGGAAAAGGGAGGTGAGGTGCCTTCTGGCCTGGGCCCCAGCTGGTGCCACAGTATTGGAAAACCAGAAGTTAGCTTCCCCCGCCCGCTGAGGCTGTTGTCAGTTTCCTGCAGGTTACCCTCTCACACTTCCAGGGACTGCTTAATCCCTGGGCAGTGACTGCTTCCTATGTTCTTTCAACAAATGTTCATCGAACACTTCCCGAGTGTCAGGCAGTGTGCTAGCCTCTGTGCCTGTGCGATTCCTGCCCTCATGCAGTTGCCATTCTGATGGGTGAGACAGAGCACAGTGAGCAGGGGCTGCAATAGAGGGCAACAGAGGCCTGTTCTGGGTGGATGGTCAGGAGAGCCTTCTTGGAGGAAGTGACATTGGAAACCTAAAGGAACGGAGGAGTTGGTTCTGTAGGAGCCGGACGGGAGAGAATATTCGAAGCAGAGGGAGCAGCACAAGCAAGACCCTGACTTGTTTCGCTGAATGAAAGACTAGCCAGTGTGCCCGGAGGGAAAGGAGCAGTGGGGAAAGTGGAGTCAGGCAAGGCTGGGAGATCACAGGGGTCCGATCCTGCAGGGCCTCACAGGGGCCAGCCAACAGCTGGCTTAATTCTGAGCGCACTGGGATGCCATTGACGGTTTCTGTGCAGAGAAATGGTTTGATGTGGATGGAAGGGGCAGCAGTGGAGACACAGGACAGATCCAGGAAGGATGCTGGAGATAGAATCAGTAGGGTATGCTGATGGATGGGAGGCTGCAGGGGAGGGGACGGAAGGGCTCAAGGATGACCCTCAGGGGTCTGGCCGGAATGCTGGTGATAGCTGTATCATGTGCTCGGATGGGGAAGACTGGGAGGAACAGGTTTTGGAATGAAGAGTTCAGGGTGAGATGCCGAGGTGCCTGGCACCGGGGTAGAGGAAGGTGCGGGCTGCAGACACAAAGGTGGGAAGGGAGTCGAGAGCAGAACCTGGTGTTTAAGTCCATGGAGACTGATGAGCTCACAGCAGGCGGTGGGGGGAGGGGTTGCGGTGGCAGCAGAAACCAAGTTCCAGGATTGCATTTACAGAAACCCTTACGTTTCTGGGCTTCATAGAAAGCAGGAGTGGCGGGCAGTGGGGACTAAGCAGGGGCCTGGGAGGAAGCTGAGGGAAGAGAGTGGGGTCTCAGAGAGAAGGTTTCCCAGGGAGAGTGGCCACCCAGCCCTGCGGAAGCTGAAATCGTTGAGACGTGCCCATTGCATCTGACAAACTGGAGGTAGCTGGTGGGGGTCGTGCGGTGGGCAGGAGCCAGCCCACAGAGGGTGTCAGCAGCGAGGGGAGGGGAGGAGTGGAGAAGGAAAGGCCCGGGGAAGACCCGACCACCAAGGACAGGGCTACTCTCCCCTATGTTTGATTAGTAGAGAGAAGGCATGTTGACCTACCAACGCCAGGAAGGGAGCGGAAATGTGAAATGCTGTGAATGGCCACCACCTGGGGCACTTCACCGTCACTCTCACTTGTCTTTACCCCAGGCCTGCAAAGGCAGCATTATGCGCAGGACATTGTTCAGGGGCTTTCTCTAGAGAAAGTTCAAAACAGGGTGGGGGGTTGGCGACTTGATTGTTTCCAGTTCTTTCAGAATCCAGGAAGGCAGAGATTACTTTCCTGGTAGAGCGTAGAAAGGGGGCAGCCAGTCCACGTCTAGGAGGAGGAGAGAGGGACTTGACCCTGAGCAGAAAGTCTGATCTTTGGGATGGAAACTGGTCACTGAGACTGTTCCTCCCTGTCATCCCTCACCCCACGCCTGACCTCCTGGACCCATGGGAAGGGGCTTTGCTTTTTAAGCCCTTGTTATGCACGGTGCTGTTTCTGCCCTTCCTTAGCCTTGGGGCCAGAAGCTTAGATTTAAGGATTTTTAGGCCTACAAAAGCTTCTAGAAATTCTGTAGTCCTCCAACTGCTCTTTTGAAAAGCAGTATGGAGGCTTGCCTTCAGTTGTAATATAAAAGGGAACCTGCCCTGGCTGGTGTGGCTCAGTGGACTGGGTGCCAGACTGTGAACCGAACTGAAAGGTCACAGGTCTGATTCTCCGTAGGGCACGAGCCAGGTCCCCAGGGGGTGGGGGGGGGGGTGGATGTGAGAGGCAGCCAATCGCTGTTTTCTCTTCCTCTCTTCCAACCCTGTCTAAAAATAAATAAAATCTTTAAAAATAAATAAATAAAGGAATCTTTTCTCAACTTGCTGGAAAAGTGAAGATGATAGATACATTTTCTCAATTTTAAGTTTCCTCCTAAAATTTAAGAAGATTGGTTTGTCGTGAACCTTTCTAACGCCCACGGAAGTAGAGTAGTATAATGAACCCCCATGAGCCTGCCACCCCACTGCAACAGTCATCAAAAGCTTTTCTGGAAAATCTTAAACCTTTGGCCTCTGCTTCTTCCCCACCCCCAACTCCAAAAAGCCATCCCACCCCTACCCCCCGCTGTTTCCTAGGCAGTGTCACTTGAAGGCCCAGCCAGCATTTCCTGAGCTCAGAATGAGACACCTGCTCTTTAAAAAAGTCCCTGCCGGGCACCATGACGGAGCGGACACCCAGAGCCCTCCACACCTGAGCGCAGAGTAGGCCCTGGGGCTGCTGGAAGCCTGGCCATCCCATGAAGGATGAGGTTTCAGGGAGAGCATTGCCTAGAGGGACTTAGACTCATTTTTTTTTTTTTTAAGATTTTACTTTTTTTTTTTTTTTTTTAGAGAAAGAGGAAGGGAGGGAGAAGGAGAGGGAGAGAAAGAAACATCAGTGTGTGAGAGAAACGTCAATTGGTTGCCTCTCACATGCCCCCAACAGGGGACCTGGCCTGCAACCCAGGCCTGGGCGATGACCAGGAATCAAACCTGTGACCTTTCACAGGCCGGTGCTCAAGCCACTGAGCCACACAAGGCCAGCCAGGGCAGGACTCAGACTCATTCCGCAGGTCATCCATGCATTAGCAAGAGGTGGCTTTTGGCTTTTAAGGGACGATTTGGAATTTAGGGAAGGGTGTTACAGGAAGAAGTGTACAATATATGAGACACAAGATAGCATAGCCTGTTCGAGAGTGGAAGTTTGTGGTGGTAGAATACAGGGAATAGGGCTGAGAGCAGCAGGAAGGTGGGCGGGGCCAAGGTGGGCGGGGCTTGTGTGCTCTGCTCTGGGGCTCCCACCAGACTCTAGTCTGTACCTGCCCCTTCCCTGTGGGGCCCTCTTCCCCTAAAACATCCTCCTCTGTGTAATTTCCTTTTCCAGTGACCACCCTTTTCAGTCGGTCCACAGTTATCCAGTGAGGGCTACTCTTTATTTTTCTGTCCATCCGAGATTGCCTACCTCCTCAGACTCTCCTACCCCCCAACACACAAACACAAAATTTAAGACATAGAATATCACAAAATTAATGAAATTTAAAATAAGTGGACGAGGAAAATAGAGCCTCTCTTGCTTCCCTGAGGCTGAAGTGGGAATTCCTGCTGGGGCTGGGAAGCTGTTGTCTTCTGTCTGTCCCAGCTCCTGTTCTCTGCACCTCTTTACTAATTCTTTTAAAGATCAAACTGCTTTAATTGTGACCAGGCCCTGCTACAGAACAGAGGTGGGTCTCTATTGTCTCCCCTCTCGCGTCAGAGATCCACTGGCTGTTTCTCTAAGCTTCAGCCCTCACTGTCACCCACCCCACTTCATTACCATTCTCTAATATGAGGGACCAGCCGCCCCTATATACTTACTTGCCATGCACTTTTTCTCTGCCTTTTTTCGTGCTGTGCTTTTCCCTTCTTCATTCTTCAGAGTTGAGTTCAAGAGCTGCTTCCTTCTCCAGGAAGCTCTCCAGGGTTTCTCTAGTCTACACTGACTTCTTCCCTTCTCTACACTCCTGTAGACCTTACTGATAATACTATTGGGTTTAGCATGGAGTTTCATAGAGTGTCTTCTCCCGTTGCACCCAAACTGGTACTGGGAAGGGAGAACAGGCTCAACAAACACCTGTTGATTGCCATGCAGTTGGAAGGCTGGTGAATGTGGGACCCCTCTCAGAGAACTTGGCCCTTGGATTTCCACACCAGGGCCCAAGCCCTTGGTTTCCAGGGGTGCTGGCAGGTATACCTGGAGAATAGCATGGGGTGTGAGGACCTGTGTGGGCAGGTAAGATGATGTCTCAACTCCTCACCCTGTGCTCCTGCTGGTCCCACTGGGCCTTTGCTGTGCGTGAGCCCGGGAGAGTCTCCCCTGGCCTGGGAGGACGGCCCAGGCTCCCGTGGTGGGGGGGCAGCCATGAGGCATTCCTCCCAAAGAAAGGCAAGTCCTGGGACCCTCTTTCTACTGATTATCAGAGCAAAAGGGCCCAAGGGAGTGCTTTGGGTTTAGGAAGGGCTTCTCACATGTATAACTTAATTGGTCCCCAACACTGCAAGGCAGAGGAGCCCAGAGGCTGAGCCAAGCAGCTGGAACAGCCATCCAGGCGGGGGGTGGGGGAAGAGAGGGTATGGGCGCTGCGGACTCCATTTGTGTGCCTATGGTTTATGGACTCAGCTATAGCCTGGCGATGGGAAGGCTCTCTCAGTAATCTCTTCACTCCAGTCTGATTCTAAATTACCTCAGCGAGGATACCGTGTCCTGCTGATCTAGGATCTGCTCTCTTCCCTGACTCCCAACCTGAATGAAGGGAGGGACTCACGCCTGCTTACACTCACTAGAGGCTTAATACATATTAAATAGTGATGATAACACAGGCCTGGCCAGTTGGGTCAGTTGGTTGGAATGTCGTCCCAGTGAGCCAGGGTTGCCGTGCGATCTAAGGCATAGGCTGGAATCAGCCACAGGGGGCGTGGATGGGTAGAGCAACAAATCAGTGTTTTTCTCTCTACCTGCCCCTTCCCTCTCGCAAATCAATAAATTAAAGAAGTCTGTTTTTAAAAAACAGTGACGATAACAAACCATCATCAGCCCAAATATCCTAGTCTCTTGTCCCCTCCCCTCCCCCAACACTCAGACCCAACCTTCCCTTCCCTGCCCGAAGGCTGCCC